CCTCTGCTATATTAGATATTATATTAGATTATCTGACAAGCAAATGTGGTGCCCTTGCTTCTTTCAAATAATTTTGTTCCTGGCAAAGGTTTTCAAGGTCAAAAAAAGGCTTATGTATCGTTTTTATGGTCAAAAACGACTTTGATATTACTTGTGCTTTTTATGTCTAATAAATCATCAATATGTTTTTCAGYTTCTACATCTTCAATTTATGTGAAAACTACATCCACAATTTATGTGACAAAATTGAAAATATCAATAGTTGAAAGAAAATTCATATCTTGGTCAATTTCAATCACACATCAAGGAGTCTTTGAATTTAGATTTCCATTAGTCAGGCGCGTAGCGTGGACTTTTATGCACATGTCAGGGACCGCGACATATATTTTGGATCTAGGGGTCTAACGAACGCCAAAGGCGGGAGTATGAAGGTTGGTCCTCCCCCAGAAAATGTTGAAACTTTTTTCAAAATTTGAAGGAAATAACTCTTGGAAATGCAATTTCCAGCATGAATGAAACTTAAGCCCCCCCTCTGTTAATTAGGTAATTTTACTTTGAGCCCCCCTATCTTGCCATCAATTTTAGGTAATGCCCACCCTCCTGGTAATTATTGCACAGTCCCTTATGGCATCATTTACTACAACTACCAGAATGCTTTGCCAACTTTCTTTTGGGGATTAAAAATCTGAATAACAATGAAAATGCACAAAGCTCTCTGGTAGTTGTTGTAAAGTTACGCCATAATGCAAATGGTCTATTGATGCTTTAATCCATGATATTCAATTCTAACAGTTTGTATTTTAATCTCAGAAGTCACTTATAGAATAATACTGATATTTCATTGTAATGTCATTGTCATTGATGATCGTAAAAACTACTTTTAYCCCCTGTAGGTCTTGTTTTTCTCAAGAACAACAAAAATCATTAATGTTCTAGTTCGGTTAAGCCACATAACGTGCGAAAAGATTTTGTGAAGATAAGCGTTTCTTAAACSGGGCTTAAATTTATCTTTAAGGTAGATTTACACTYGCGCAAATCTCATATTTTGTGTCGAGTTAGCTCGTGACATCTAATTTTCTTACCTGATCTTTTTCTTTTCCATGAGCAGGCTATACAAAYGATACAACAAGCTCCTAAAATGATTGCACCAAGAACTATTGCAACAACCACTACATAATATGGCTTACTCTTCTTAATACTGGAACTTGTAGTCTGATTCGTTGGTGCTGCAGTTGTACTATCTGTGGAACAAGGAAAGTTACCATATCGTTTTTATGCTGGTGAATTCACGCTTCTGTATAATGTTGAAATAAAGCATGAGTGCCTCGACGACAAATTATGCTCTGTGATGGTTATGTTACACTTCTGATTTTGAAGGCCTTTTCATYGTGCATCTATACTCTCTATATAACACTGATGATAATACCACTAGAATTACTTCATAATTTTTACCTATGACTAAGTAAACGATCATATCTATGCAATTCACTTAGCGGCCTACATTTTAGAGGCTCGCATGCATCTCACATAGGAAAATACTCCAATTTTGAGTTCTGGTTTGCTCTGTGTTAGGCTCAAAACCAAGTAGCATATACTTTTCTTTCATTGATACCTCGAGAAAACGCATGGAATTTGTGAAGAAAGACAATAAATTTGACTTTTAAATCTCACACTTTTACGCTCACAACTCGCTCACAACTAARGAATATTTTGCGCACAAGTGAGTCTAACACAAAGATTGGAGAATTCGAAACTGGAGTATTCGCCATTTTTGTTTTTGAACAAAACATAATTTTAGTATTTGCAATTAATAGACCCATCAACGTCTACATCATTTCCCGGACTGATTTTATACTGTAAACACACGTAGAAATTAAAGCTGCTTTTTTGGAGAGATCTTTTTTGCGGTTGTATAGTACTACTGTACAGAGTCCTTGCTACTTGACAAAGCTGTGCCCCTAGTATGACACTGAATCCCACTGAGYATTCATATTCTTACTTACCCCAAAATACCACATTATTGTTTTGGTGTGMAGTTGTTGATAGAACCACTTTTACCTCTGCAATAGAAATTATTCTCTATAGCCATCTTTTAAAATAACGGATTTCCTAGAAAACTCATGAAGAAACTAGTTTTCATAGTGAAGTTTAAAAGGTCAGTTGTTAGTGTGTATGAGATCCATCCTATCCAATATCCAAGTATGCAGACAATATTAGTATAAATGAAAAAAATGAAGTAGCTAAATTATCCTTATAAGTGTTTTACAATACACACATATAAGGGCAGTGTCAAACGTGGAATCTTACATGTACGATGTACCGAATTAAAGAGGAATTACTGTTGTACATGGTAGATTCTGATCCAGGATTAACTTTTCACAAATCGTTACCGGAAGCAGAAGTTGTAGCTGGTGCAGCAATAGTTGACTGGTATGTATTCATAAATTCTTGACATTCCAAATGTCTATGCTTGCACCCTTAAARGATAATATTTGTTAATAATGAAAAAATAGCTGTCATTCACAAAATCAGTTTGATAGTTGTACCCTACTGAGACGAGCATCCAGTATGGCGGATTAAGTACCATGTGACCGTTTCATGCAAAAGGCCTATTTTTGTGGCAAGGTGCAGGCATGAAAATCTTAGACGTTAAGAAATATCACGACAAGCACAACTGAGACTTTTTATTGCTCCACTGACGTAAGGCCTCTGGGGAGAGAAATATATTAAATGATTACTTCATTTGCATACCTGTATTATACTCGCAGATCCTGGCTCGCATGATATCTCCTCTAAGACTATTAAATAAACCATGATATCCTATTGGCCAATTCTTTGCCATGGTGACGTATCTTTTATAGGTCACCTTTTCGGGCTCTCCTTCCTGCCATTTATCGATGGTAAGAGATCGGTTGTTAATCCACCTCCARCTACCTGTCAGGTTTGTCAATCCAATGTGCCACTCGATTATRTCTGTTCGCTTTTGGATTCTATCGTTGATGTATGACCACTCTTCTTCAGTTTCCATGGATACCAAGTCCCCACCGTTGTCAAGACATTGCTGTCTGCTATTTTTCCATGGTTTGAGATCGACGTGAAATGAGTAGCAAGAACATGACAGCGTGTCTGCGGAAATAGAAATAAGTCGATCTGATGAAGAAGTGGACATTCGATTATTTAGTCAAACTAACAAACGAATGAGCTACTTTAAATATATCCAATGCACACTTTTTTGCGTTTTTTACTTTTTATCATATATTATATTATTATATGAGAAGTTGCAGGTCAAAAGAGGTCTTATTTCAAAATCTCTTGCCTTTGACTGCATATAAACCGTTGCGTCATCAAAGGGGTCTTAGTYCTTAGCACCCCTTTTAAGTTGCCACACCTCATATAGATATCAATGAAATATCAGGTTTTCTCCGTGTCAGTTAAAAACTTGATATCTTCAGAAGTGGATARATATCGCTGTTGTCATAGTAACAGTAACTCGACTTGCCATTCGTGACTCGAGAAGCTGGACTTGCGAGCGACAAAACTTTAGACTAAGAGGGAATTGGGACCATATTATGGAATCAATCAGTGTTTCACATGTCAAGGTTCCTCTTCTGTATTTCAGGGATTAGTTTTTTTGAGCTATGCACTTTATAGTCTACCTTAATGTGGCTTCCTATAGTTTTTTTTTCGACCATAACTCTCCTTTTAAATTCGCTTTTTTTTCTGTACCGATTTATTTGTTGTTTGGACCAGTAATATGTTTTGTTTGGCATAATATTTAGCTCCATTAATGTTACCTAGGCAACGGAAATCGTATTTTGTCGAAATTCGTTTTTACCAAATATCTCAAAAAATTGATGAGATCCAGAAAAGCGGTAGACATCATCATTAATTTCAAACTATTGCGCATGCACAACATTTTGGAATAGTTGAAAACAAATTCATCTGTTCGATTTCGAGTAATATACAAAAATCACATCCATAAAATATTTGYCAATATGAGCTTTATTTTTTTACAGCTTTATTATGGAGGATATTTATAACATTCAGCCAAGCGAAGTTCTGCCTTACATGACACGGCAAAGCGCCTTGACATATATGCCTTGTTAATGACAGTCACTGAATAAATTTCATAAAACATAAATGCAAAATGGCGTCAAATTTGGAAATATTTTGGCAGTATACTCGCAGYCTTTAACATTCCAGCAAAAATAAACACCGTCAAAGTACTTTTATTGAAAGGCTTTTCATTTTGATTGCGAATTTCCCTTGAATCTTTTTTAAGGAACATTCTTTAACTTGCAACATTGTTTTGTTGCCTATAAAACTAAATTTCTACGAAACGACTATTAGTACACACCCATGCATATAAGGCTGAGATAGACTTGCGGTAAAACTGAGTTTCATTATCACTGATGTAAAAATGTTTTCTAATGATTCAATCTCTCATTGATCTTTGCTTGTGGTTCAGAGTAATAGAAGAAGAGAAAATGCTAAGCACTATAGGAATATTTCCGTCTACCCAAGGTATGCACATCGTATCAAAGCTGCACGCCCACCCCCACATGAAAGCAAAAAATCCACTTTAATGGAGAACAAGAATAAAAATTTTATGTGAAGGAATCGCTACAAAAAAAAAAAGATGAAAACTTTGAGTGTAATCTATGGTTTTCTGTGTGAATTTGAAAAGAAAATGCAGCACTGGCAAATGGCTGGTATTTAGCTACGCCTGATAGATTTTTGTTACAATTTGTGGCTATGCCAAAACGCTCGCTCAGTTTTTAACTCGGAGATTGCGTAGCAATCGTAGAGTTATTGGGAGGGGACAGGCTGTCACTCGCTCGATCACTTTCCTGTAAACTCGAGCCTGCGATGTCTTTGTCAGCAGTTATTCATTTAATTATATTAATGTATTCTACTTAATTATTATTTATCATATCTAATTTTTCTTTACATTGATTTATTTTTTGGCAAATAAAGAAATCAAAGAAATGGGTCACCTGGGATCTSAACCCGGGCCCGCTGGATTGGAAATCAAAGGCACTACCGATTAGGCCACGCGTGCTAATGTTATATGACATCGGGTAGACTTGTCTTTTAACTGATGGGCGCTCGCCCGTGCTTGTCTAGAATTCGAGGTTAAAACTATAAGATTTTAACGAAAAAATCTGCATTCAAATGTCGTTTACATAAAATTCTATTTGTAAAGTAAATCTAATTTGATTCGTTGTATTGTTCAGTCACAAAGGAAGCATGAGGAAGACTCGCCGATCCGACATTAAATTCGTCTCGAAAATCATTTTACGTGTGTTTTATTTATCCACGTTCGTCTACAATTCAAAAAAAAATATTCGCTCGCTACCGTACTATTACATTGTAATATTTGATACATAGTTCATTGTGTGGTTAGACATCGATAATACTATTTTGAGCCGCTACGGAAACTGGCAAACAATAAAAGCGACGGTGCGTATAGTTGGTCGGGGATTCAATTGAACCAACTTTCAGTTATAAATACTCATTTTAACAACTTTCAGTTGTTTAATTCACCGTTACGGAGTAAGCATTCTTAAAAGAATTGCTGGAAAAAAATAATAAATAATAATAAAAAATAATAATAAAGAACAAAAAAAAAAGAAAAAAAAAMSATAYRATATCATTTGGGATTCGAACCGTGACCTCTTGATCAGTAAACCTGTGTTTTAACCACTAGTATAGGCCACGATGTCAAACTTTAAACAAGCGTGGCTTAGACTGGGATTTATTTCGCCGTCACTCGCCGTGCTTATCAACACAGCCGCAGTATTAAGTAGTAACGAAAAAATTTCATAAATCGTTTACTTAAAATTGTAATTGTTAAAGTAATTATAATTTGATTCATCTTACATCTATCGTTCTGTATCAATCTCCGAGTTATGCTGCCATTGGCTGCTTGATTTATGTTTGTGCACCCTCCAGTAAAACGCACTAGCTATGCCCCTGATGAATGTTCCTCCTACCAATTGTTTAGGTTCGAACATCGCTTGAAGGTGTTTCGATCGTAATAAATAGCGCTTCGCGCGTATTTTTAATTAAACTCCAACTACGTCGCAAATTTCGATTCCATTGCACTCAAATTTTCACAAAAGTAACAGTGATTATCGACAATTCTTGTAGATAAATTAATTTGCCAAAAAGCGAAGCCATTTGGATAAACGATGCAAAATAAAAACACCTTCATTTTTCTTAAAAATTAATTTTCTAGAAACTCATCGCAGAGATTGTAATAAAATTTTCAGAATCATTTCTTAATAACATAAYTGATATACTGACGAAGTTTCAATAAAATCTTAACCTAAAATTTCGAGTTGTTCGAATGTACATCATTTTGCTCAATCAACTCGAAATTTTGGATTCCGGCTGTTAGCATCTGCAACCTCATGCWTGCCTTGCAATTAGACGTTTGGCCACCCATGAATTTCTTCGATATTCAACTAATTCTTTATTCAGTCCCTAAAGAAGACTGCTTATGTTCTTATGTGATTTCTAAGCATATCGTTTCTTTTGTCTAGCCTGCGTCACATCCGGACAARCGACGGTGAAGTCCGTCTGCAAAACAGCACCAGCAATAATATCTGCATGGGTCATCTAAAACAACCAGAGAAATGGCTGTTATATCCAAGTTATTTAGTCTGTCTGCTTGGTCATTCATCAAAGCCATGAGCGGAGAAATTCCAAGAATCAAACTGAAAGATCGCGGATTCCCATTCACGATGTCAGCAACAATAGGTGTGGGTTAAGGATTTTCCATATTCTGTACGCAAATTCACAAAAAAATTTCTCTCCTTAAAGAGGACTTCAATTCCATCCTTTTGCTCGCGAAGAAGCTGTTCCATTTCGAATTGTTTCTCGACTTCCTTGAATGCCTCTTTGAACGCCATTGTATGTTGTGCCTTCGCTCGTGTGAAGTGATTGTTGTGAAAAGTCTTTGACGAATAATCAATCGTGTTAGAATTCGAATTGGTAACAGCCAATCGGAAATCACTTCATATGTCCTTGCTAGTCCGCTGGGGGTCGGAACAACCGTCGCTTGTCTTTTATTCTTTTATTAACAGTGTCAGTTTCCGTTTTGTACTGTTGTACAGTGCTATACACAAAATGTCCTATGAAAAGTCCCTTAAAAAGCCTTTTTCATGTGTAATCCGAGCTATCGAATGATCTCTAGTCATCTGCAGAAAGGGTCGAATTCCATACTTGATAGAATGTGGCTGATTTGTTGCCATGCCTACACTCACTGAATCTTTTCAATATTAAAGTTCCTGCTTCTAATTTCTATGCCATCTTTGAATTACGCGCAAAGCAAGGTTTATAAAATAGTTTTAACCACAAATACTCCAAAATTTTTAGCATACGCGTGTTGATAAAATTTTTTAGACAATTTGAACGTATTCAAGTAGCAGAGAATAAATATTACTTTCTACATAGGTAGCATTTTAGCATTTTCCTATCAAGAAATCGAGAGATAGTCGAAACACGTTTCTAATAAGCTGAAAGTTAATAAGTTTTATTCTGAAGACTATAAGAAATGCAAAGGAGACCTTTCCTTGTCATGTGTTCAGTCAATTGGAGTATTTTATTTTATCAATCAGGCCAAGTGAACTTTACTCAGTACTTTTAGTATTGTTATCTTAAAATATTCTACGTACTATACAACAAATATGTAAAGAAAACGGCATATGGGTCTATCAGCACTGCTGCATAACTGCATAACTGCTCGTTATGAGAAAGGTAAATGATACCTCACAATCCACGGAAATCTCTTAACTCATCCACTTAAGCGTGTTTAGTTCTATCCTATATATCGCACATCATTATATTTCCTATGACATTAGGCTATGGTGTGTCGTTACTGTATAACCGTAGATAAAGTAAACGTCCTTCTCATTATGAAGGATATCTAGAGCTAGTGCAAGTGTGGGCAGCGCAGTTGTGATATTAGCATCAATAATCCACGTTCGATATTTTGATTGACTACTTCTTTTGTTTCCCCTGAGCCTCGTCTTCAATTCTTTTGCGCATGGCAATTCAACCAGAATATCGACAAAAAAAATGACAGTGGTATAATAAAAGACAATCMGTACTTTACCTAATTGATTGAAACCATAGGGAAATATCATGAGTTATTGCCACTACCAACATCGTCATCATCAGTTCAGGAATAACAGTTCACTTTCTAAATCACTGATACTGCAACAGGCTCACATTGTCATCAAATCTTTGTAATTTCATTTAATTAGATCATCATTTCGGCAATTTATACAATATGTGGCGGATCCAAGGGTTACATGGGTTGCGCACCCCATTCCCCTGCCCTTCTGCGCCGCATGATTCGGACTCGACAAAAAAAAACCTCTCAGTTTATTTACTGTATGATGCTTGTGTCGGCATGAATGATTATTATAACTTATTATTAGGATAAATTACGTTGATTGTGATGAATTATATTATTAATCAAATAAGAATGAGCCATAAAGAATACTAAATAAAAAAATATACTTCCAGCGAAAAACGCTACGCTAAAAGGAACTGATAAAAGTCTGTCCATTTTAATGCGTTTATAAATACATCTGAAGTGATGATGTGCTATATTCTTGCTCGATCAAGCCTGAACATTGAAATCTCAAGCAGAATCCCTAAGCCATGTAAAAAAAAAACACAAAATAAATCACTATGCAAGCATGAACTAATCTTCTGAATTTTGATGATGTTTTAGCTTATAACGTAGAGATCCGTGGCAACGACTTATCAGAATGTTGAAATGTTTGGTCGTTTCAATCAAACCGCCACTGCCAAAAATGAGATGTAAATTGGTACTGCATTATAAAAAGAGGAGATATTTCATCAAATTTGACACAAGTCACTTTCAACTGGTTTCAATATCCAAGGGCTCCAAAAAATCAAAAAAGAAAAATTGTTGCTTTGTTTTACTGTCGCATTGAATGAGTTTATCTTTTATCTTTCGGTAATCTCTACATTAATTCTGGGTTTTTGAAATATAAATTAAGTGAAGATCTGCGGATTGCAGGACTTGACCAAAAAGACATTTCAAATTCTCTTTTTTCTTTACACCGAAAATACTGTCCACATCTGTGGAAGTCAAAGTATGATTAGAGAAAAGTGTCCTTCTATTATTGTTCTATAAAGGTTACGTTAAAGGGTATAGACACTCATTTTAATTGTTTGTTTTGGAGTCCCGTCGCGAGGAACAAAAGCCTAAGTACATATTTGTTCATTCCTAATGACGCTAGAGTATACGACACAAAAAACCTGTCTCTCTCCATTTTAAGTAATGAAGGAATGAAACCAAATTTTCCATTTCGTATAATGCTGAATTATGTTGAAACATAATGACTCGATCAATAATTTAGCTTCGCACCTCTTTACTTCCAGGATTTGTGTTTTCAAACATAAGCCATTTGGATTTCTTTTTAACATGAACAGCGTTCCTTGAATCATGTAAAATTGTTCAGCTTTACCTTTCATTCTTTTTGGGCTTACAAAACAAAAAATGGACTATGGATTTGAAAAGTCAAATGTTCAATATCGAAGCATCTATTACGTAAAAAAATTGTTTTTTTTTTCTTAATAAAAAAAGGACAAAGTAGCAGACGTTAATATGTCGAACTAAAGAAGATTTTTACATGAAATAAAATGTTTGATGACAGACTTACCTTGAACGAGCCAGGAAAGGGTAAAGGTGAGCAAGTACGGCGCTATCCACTGCATGGTATTGGACGTAGAGATCACTTGAGGAATACAAGCTCGTTAGGTTATATGTATTACAACAGTTGCCACTACCCGATGCCAAAGCCAAAGTTGTTGGCAAAAGCCTTGTATAACAATTAGATTCGTCAGACTTTTGTCTATGCGTTTATCAAGATGATTTGCATTTAACCGGACCCTTCCTCACTTAATAGATATCATCATCTCATGTACTTCTCAAAATGAGTCTCGGAAATTGGGATTTCTTTCACACCAACTTGCGTAAGAAGCGAAATGAATGACATGTAGTGTGCACCTTTAGATGGTAATTAGATACGTTTTACAATGGCGTTTTCTTTAGAGTCATTAAGGACATTAAAGTATTTAACGTAAGACATACTATAGTACAGTTTATAAATCAAAGGGCTGAAATCCGCCTTGATTTATTTAAAACTTGCCTCTAATTTTACAACTTTGGAAAAATCATTTGACAGTTGACGGCGGTTTGTGTTGCTGTGGTTAGCAAAAAATGTCAATTAATACTGAAAGTCAAAAAGTCAACCATGGATTTTTTCATCATAGCGCAGATCTTTACTGTCACATTCACATTATTATGTGCTGAAATAATGAAAAGTACTTTATCGTGAGGAAAGATTTTCATATAATAATCCCAACTGGAAAGCGCAACAAAAGTCTTCATTCACATTTTTTGGATGCTACGTGCAATTATAGTACGTTGACGTCATGTTGGAATACCATATTTATGTTATCAAATATTAAACAACAGGCCGAAAAAAAAAAGAAAACTGATCAGAAAGACTGAATGACGTGAGGTAATAACTGAAGTGATTAGTTAAATTACTGGAAATATTCGTTTTTCGTGCAGGTTTGTTAATACTGAGCGTTATTCAATCTAAACCTCACAAATTCACCTGATTTTAGAATTTAGTTCTTGAAATAAAGGGATTCAATTATAAAGCCTGAAATTCTGTCCCGTAGACAACAATTTAATTCTTTAATTCATAACCAAACCACACACAGGGTTAAGGCCGCAACTCGACGTATAAGGCGTTGCCCAAGAGTTGAAGCAATCCAGTTCAAACAGACCTTCCGACGTGAGAAAACAAAACAATAAATAAAATGGTTCAGCGCGATAATGTAAACAAAGATGTTCATTGAAGAAGAAAACAAGCACGACAAATTGACAACAAACAATAGAAGTGTACGCTAAGTACAAAGAGAATAGGAAGCTAGCAGAACGTTAAATGTTTTTAATGTCATTAATTACTACTTTTATTATATATTGGTGGTAATGTTACAATACATTGCGTTTTATAGTATTAAATAACTGTAATTCATCTCAATATATATCGCCGCTCACTATCATAGGGATAAGGGGCACCCCAAAGATTTTGACAAATTTAATAAATGTATGCTGGAAATAATGAAATACGATTTTTCAAACTTTATTACCGTGTCCAGGCCGAAGCCCTGCGGCAAAGTTGCAGCAATTTTATTTATTTCTTTATTTCCATGTCGCAGTTTAGCAATCCCAAGGGACCTCGACTGGAGCACTTCTGAAAAATTCTTTTTTTTCTTTCTTTCTTTCTTTTTTTTAACTGAAATATAAGTGTTCTAGTCATATTAGATTTGTATCGTAGCAATTTGTTGTATCAATATTTTCGAGCCGCGTTTGTTAAATTTTAGAAACAAGATGATACTCGAATAGCGTCGAACTTAGGATCGCGGGTTAGATTCTCAAATCGATCACTTCTAAGCCATTCTTTTTTCTTTCCTTCTTTTTTTACTGAAATACACTTATTCTTATTTTTCCTGTAGATAGTTGTTTTACATATTTTACACGCAAGATCATACTCGATTCTCGCGACTCGAGCAGTATATAGTCGTTCTTTTTTTCTAAAATCATTTTATGGAAAGCAAACTTTCATCTTATAAATTCTTTGAGCTGCGAATGCAATCTGATTGCTAAATTGTCACTGCAATGCTAAAAATATTCAAAAAAAAGATGTCAAAAGATCATACGCAAAATCTATCAAATCGATCGCGGCGCTGGTACTGAAGTAAATACTGGCGTAGCTTGGACACGGTATGTTCCACGAAGTGGTTCTTTGTTTCTACGTCGCTGCAGCTGCTATTTTTTATTTTAAAGAATACCGAATATAAAGACAAATACGTATTGTATTGCATTGTTGCTATTGGATTCCACGAAAATGGCGTTACAAAATGACGATTTTAAATTTAATTACTATTTCTCGAATTTCTTTGCTGTATGGATCTGGAATAATCCCTCTGAAGCCGTTAAGATCCCCTTTTAGCGGCGTTTGATATTGGGAAACAATCCCGTCACAGTATCCAGTTCTCAACGCTTTCCGAAATAAATATATAGCTGTGCACTGTATATGGTGTGAACAAATAGCTGACTCGTGGTTAACTTTTTCTGCGAGAGTGAGTCTTGTACTGATCACCATTCACGTTTCAAGTGATTAGTTTGTAAAGTTAGCCCTCATGTTCCTTAAAACAATTCTACATTTTCTTTTCATTTTTAAAAATAAATCCCCGTGATCTCTATTATAACCCATGAAGGGGCTTTGTCCTCTATTGTCCGCATTGCACTTCAGCGCGAACTTAATAGGGTCAATATTTTTGGGTGTTCATATTTATTTAATATTATTTTATTTAATATTATTTTTTTATTTTTTTAAATATTTAATATATTATTTTTTATGTGTTTATATTATTGTTATTATGTACAATCCAACAATGCCTAATTCAAGAAAGTGCAAATTATCAGGAGGGAGTTTGAGTACCAAGGGGGATAGTCTCAACTTATGACTTAAAAAAGGGGGGCAACGTCCAAGTTAATCAACGAGGGGTGGGGGAACATCTAACTTTAATTTGAAACTGTTTAAAGCAAAGGCCTACCGTGGGACCCAGAATCGTTCAAAATCTCGCAAAATAACTCCAAATCTCTCAAAGTGAGTGGCATTTGTGTAGAATTGCTAAAGTGTATCAAGTCGACACGAAGCCTTTACTGCGAAAAATTCTCCGGGGCCAAAAAGTCACTCAAGATGCTCAAAAGCACGGATTTAGGGGAGCATCCTCAGAAGATCCAGATTCAAGGACTTACATTATACTGTATATACGTAATTATTCAGTCAGTTCGTGAAATGAGTATTGCATAATCGAAACGTCGTCATCAAAAGATTATTTATCTGAAATTTCAGGTTAACTAAGCCAATGTTTCAAAATGAAAATTTCACTAGTAGACAGTGTGGGCAAAAAAAACCTTCTGGATCCACCCCTAAAATTGCCCCAAAATTGCATTATACTTTGTCGAGTGGTTTTGTGCAATATCTACGAAAGTGTCGATTATGAAGCTATAATGTACAAGTCATGTCTAAACACTCTAGAATTCATGTAAAGATGTTTGCAGTGCTCAATAAGCTCAGTGCAATCTTCTAGTCTTCAAAAGGTGCCATATCTCTTGGTGACTGAGCAAGTCTTGTTATTTCAGCGTAGTTTGTAGTCTCCCGCGTTCCTTTGGCATCCTGGCTGTTCTCCATGACAACAAGTTCAGCGTATACCACAGCGGTTGATTTGCTTTGTTTGCCCTGAATCGCCAAATAAAAAATTGAAATTTTTATTTTTGTAGCTGGAGAAGACTCATATACCACACTGCGCTGTGTTATGTTTGTGATGTTTTACGACACACAGGTTTATAATAATAATAATAATAATAATAATAATATAACAATAATGCTTATTTATTGAAAAGGGCAAGATAATAACTAGTACGATGCTGAGCTTATACTGAATATGGCTCGACTGATGCCATAACTCTGTTTAACACTACAGGGTATATCAAACTCCCTCAACTAAAGTCAGTTAGGAACTAACTGCATATAAACTAATTAGAGCTGGCGCACGGTGAACTGGTTGCGTTCACAGAGTAGCGCACTATCAAAAATATTTCTTTAAACATTTTCGCATATTGTTTAAAAAAATGTATTTGTAAGAATAAGAGCGCTTAAGAATAATAAAAAACAAGAAAAAAATGTCAAGAGTTTTAAAATAAACTTTGTTTTACCTTGTTGTCTTTCTTGACCTCGGCATACAGAGGTTCTTTTGTTTCATTTACTGTTTTGTTAATAATATTGCTAGCTTCATTACTTTCAAAGTCTTCTGTGCTGTTGCAGACCTGTCCATCTATTTCATACCAGAAATAGAGAAAATGTAAAAACTACCCAATTCACCAGAGTTCCTTTATAGCTCGTCAGTCGTTTTGCTTACAAGCGGATGTGAAGGCGCATGCAGCTAATTTTTAAGTACGTAATTGGTGAAGTATTGACAAGCAGAAACTATTGTTTGGTATTTTCGTTTTCATCAAACGGCGCAAATTTATGAAATGCTACCTCTAYATATGACATCACGTGCCCTTAGATGCAGGTACCATCTTCCATTGTCGACTATTTCATTGAATTAATTATACAATTTTCGTGAATACATGCTTCCACTACCTTCATATTTCCCATTGCTTTCTTTAGGAATGGATTTCCTATCTGTTTGCGAAATTGACAACGGGACTTCTTCATGGATGGTCGGGTGTGTAATCGACTCGTTACCAGACTCTGCTTCCAAATTTTCTTTCAAACTGACAAAATTGGAGAACGTATTACCTGACATATTTTTATGCTACAGTAAAAACCCGCGTCTAAGAACACCTATTTTGGCGGTTCAGGCTGATTTGGTTCTTATATAAAGGGTTATAATCTATATGTGTTCTTAAGTGCTCTTAAAAAACGTTTCCTGAAATAAGGAACATACTAGGCCTCCAATAGATGAAATCAATATATATGCACACAATTTTAATTAATTACAATGATGTAGCTATTTTGATTAAAAAAAAACGGATAAATCAAGGCAATACAGGTACATATTTTTGTTTTGTTTAATATTTTGTTACATTTAAGTAACTAGTATGTGTGCAATGAAAAGTAATGTTGATCTTTGATATTTTTCCATGTAAGAAGAACTTTCATTTTTCAGGCTGAATGTGTTCTTATATAAATGGTACTTTATTTCCTAAAATCAGGCCTGGGTGTTCTTAATCCATTTGTTCTTATACGCGGGTTTCTTACTGTACTGATATTTCAATTTGCTTCCAGAGGAAGGAAACATATATATAATTATACACCCTTTTAATAAGTCCCAAGGTATTGTTTTCTCCGCACTTGACGTCAAATTTATTCTTTTGAAATTTTTACAATACAAAAGGAATTCAAAAGAATATATTTGACGTCAAGTGCGGAGAACGTAATACCTCGGGACTTATTAAAAGGGTGTATAAGTTTTAACAAATTTTCATAAAAGATGGTGCGAACTAGCAGTGAACTAGTGTGAGCTGCGTTGGTGTTTCTAAGGAAACAGTTGTGTAAAAAGATGCATTTACACAGTTGTTTTCATTAGCAAAGATGGTGTCAAAGACAAATTTGAGCAAGTTTTCTGCCGAGGGCGGGATGTCTTATTGAGCGATGACTGATGTCTCAACAAATAAAGCACAACATTTACTCATTTCTTTATTTTTTCATGTTTCGATCGTCTTTCGAAAATCCATTTCTTGACATAACCGTGAACATACGTAGTAAAAATGTTTCGAGCAAAGTTAAAATGAAAGGAAATCATAACAATAGAGGAGAGGCAAGGGTATGACAATAGAATCATTTATAGTGATCAAACTTAGATATCGTTAGGTGATGACCGTCGCATCTTTTAGAATTAAAAACTGGAATCTAGTGAGCTGTGAGCACTCTATTTGGGTGTTTTAGTTTAGTATTTTTTTAACTTTTAAAAAAAATTCTGAAAAGATACGTTATCACAAGTTTTTAATCCATTCCAAAAGATCGGAAAAACTAGTTCATCAAAGAGGTAATCAAAGAGGAGGAAAAACTAGTCATTTTCGAGGGTGTGTCATGTTTATCCAGTTTAGAAAACTGTGGCCCTAAAAGAACAATCTGCCTTTTCACTTCAGCTTTTTACTACAAGAAAAAGCTGACTTTCGGGGAAGCTTTTTAAAGCTTAAAAGACTAAGAGGAAAAATAACAACGATTTGTGAATTGCCGAGCAGTGTCGGGATGTTTGTCCGCAAATACAAATGCAAAGGCAGCTGTATATAAAAACCAAGAGGAATCGACACAAATGATAGAGATGCCGGGCTTAAAATTTGAAATTGATAAAGCTGCTGAAGACAGTGTCGAAAGGTTCAAATTTATAAGGTAACTTCAAAAGAAAATGTCGATGTTTGTGGTAAAAATTCAAACATGTCAATGGATGTCCTTTTAGTCCTTTTTCATGACTTCTCTCGACGATATACTTATGAATCCGTGCTTATCTATAAAGCTTTCATAGTCCAATTCATCTAAGAAAGAAGGTATTCCTGAGAGTTGAGAGTTTAAAACTTTTAAAATCTTTTATGTATTAAAAGTAGTGCATGCCTCTCACCTTGCTGAATGCTGAGGCAACTATTGTTCTTTGAACTCTATCGTGCACATTTAAAATTTATCGGTCAAGATTAATTTATCACAACTGATTTTTTTCCATTTATGATCTAATTTCTTTGGCGAATAATATAGCGATAATTAAAAAAGTAGAACATAACATTTCGTGCTCACTATCGAGAACGAGCGGCGACAATGGGACAGGTACGAAATAAACATGTATTCTTCTTGTTTTCATTAGCTATTGTTTTTTTTATTACACTTCATATATTGTATAGAGGATATTACATGGGCGCGCAGAAATACGGATTTTATCTTCGAGTGTTGAAAAGATCTCTCACGASTGAAGATTTTCAACACGAGGAGATAAAATTTGTATCTCCAAGAGAACGTGTAATATTCTATTTATCATATAATTGTATATGAAAGCAAATGATGTCGTAAAATAGCTTTTTCACTAGTGAAAATAACATGTGAGATAACACATTCAAGGTTTCTCTATATAGTGGAAGCAAGAAAAAAGGTATTTTACGACATGATTTGCTTTCAAAATTCACATTTGACCGGCCGATGCCAGGGCTTTTTCTCCTCTCCGAAAAAAGTAGCCTTGCCGTCCGTGTACTACCACAGGAAACCCATAAACCGCGAGAAAATAAAAAAGGGCCAAAATATTTATTGAAAAATCGAAATTTTGCCTTCAAACATGTATCTTCGAAATTGAACATATTTGAAAAAAACAAACACAAGAAAAAGTCCACAGGTTAGTCAAATCAAAACACAAAAACATTCCCGCCACTTTTTTATAACTACGACGCGTTTGTACATCCGGGAAATCGATTCTAGAGATAAAAAAACAATTTATTATTACAAGCTTGTTTGAAACTTACTGTTAGCCGTAACAAAGCTTAAAAAAGGAAAAAAATTATCACTTTTTACTTCAATTTGATAAAAAGAAAAAGATGATGTTGTCTCGAAAATACAGAAAAAATATGGGTAAAAGCAATGGCCTAAGGTCCGGTTTATACTTCGAGCTATCGTAGCGCCTAACGAAATAGTTAAATACAATTGGCATGCCGTTGCATGATATATACATCGAACCAAATGCAGTCAAAGCTTAAGGATAACATGACACGCAATTTGATTAAAATTAATTATACATACCCTTGCTCGACTCCGTTATTCAAGGCCAGCTCATTACCTTGGTTTACTCTTCGTCTGGTACATATAATGCAAATGACACAACTTACTAGTACAAGAACTACCAATACCGCTAGTGCTATAACATAGTAAAGAGGGACGCTGGTACTAATCCAGTCTTCGGTTGGTGAAGGTGAACTGGTATAAACTGAAACACAAAACAATATTTGGACCTCATCATCAACACATCAGACCTAGAAGGAGCGGTAGTGTAAAATTAAATAAGGGCTGTGGTTTAATGCTGCTTAACGTTGTTTTTCGAATGAGTTCTATATAAATATATAACTTGCGCAATATTACCGTGGCAACTTTTCAAAAATATCTAAAACATTATAAAGATATTGAATACAAAGTGTCCCTCTAATCAAAGAAAATGATATCATTGGATTATAARAAATGAGAAATATTGTCAACTATATAGCCACCTATTTTGGAGCACAAGGAAGTTAGTCCTTTTTGTGTGTGTGACAAGTTGTATTCTTTTTTCTTTCTCAGTGTTGTTCTGTAGCTTTGATTAATATAACTTGATTGTAAAAATTCTATTATACTTCCCATCTTACATATTAATTGTAAACTAAAACCCTTTAATGTACTACCCTTACATGCTACTAATGARTTAATAAGACATGTCAAAAAAGAGTCGCAATCATATACAATTTCTTATTTTAGTTAAATATATCATAATTTCTATTTCTGTCTTTCTAAACTCTAAAAAGGGTTTGCAGTGGATAGCAATCCTAATCACCCTGGATCCGCCCGAGGCACTGAAGGTTTGCTACGAGATCTATAAAATGATTTTCTATGAGAGTTTTTGAATTTTCCGACGCGACTGTCGAGTGACTTAACACTAAACATGCACTAAACAAAAACAGAAGCAAAACATAATTACTCAAATAGACTCTAAAGTAAGTTACTCCGAAAATAACATGCGTACAATGTGTTCTGCTTCTTAGCTATATATAGGCAAGTATCATGGAATATGAATGTAAAACAGTCCTATGTAAAATTTATGTTGCATTACAAGATAAAAATTATTTTGCATTGAGCTACAAGGTTAAGGTTTGGCCAATTATTATTTTACTCTATATGATATATTCAATTGCAATGTACAAAATAATAACAATAAACCACAAGCTATGCAAGAATAAAAATCATAATTATAATAACAAAATTGCTTCCTCTAAATCTGAATTATGATACCTGGCTGATATACCTGATCGAGACGGAGCCCACAACTGAAATAAAATCCAAAGCCAAATACGTCTATATTTGACAATGTTAACCATTTTACTTTTGACAAGCTAATGTTCAAGGTGGAACACTGGATTTGAAAAGGCTGTTCTTGTTCTGTATTTCACATTTCATGTATGGCCACGTCAAAGCAAACTGAAACCAGAAACTACAACTAGAGACCACAACGTCATGATGTTTTTCAGATATCTTGGAAGAAAGAAATTTTGATTTTTCTTTCCATGTWCAAAGTAAAATATAACGGAGTTTGGTAAGTATCAAGAGGTAGTATCCATACCATATGCCCTACAACGTGAATTAATCCAACTYTTGGGGAGGTGTGAAATTAGCCTTTTCATAAGAAGGAATTTTGAATGTTCTACCAAATATTGAACAAGAGTGAAAATATTCTGGCTCTTTTTAACGAGTAGTAAAACAGGATCAAAATTGGCATGGCTTCACTATTTACGACACAATGATTCTGTACTAAACTGATCATGAGATGATTGTGATTATGATGTTTTACTCATCCAAGCATACTTCTCAGTTGTTTTCATCCAGCAGCCAGTTGATATCCCTATGCTTTACAAAAAATTATAATTATTTGATGTTCTTTTCTTAGCAGAACATGGTGGTGGAAACATTTGTACTTGCTTTAATCTTACTGGTCATTTTACTCATTGTTTTGATGGTATGCGTCAAACGACAGGGTAATGATTAAACTTTCAGTTGTCATGTAATTTGTGGGTTTCCTTCAGGTTCAGCGTTGAAAAAAATTCAACTTCAAATCAAAAATAACAACTGGTCAATGTGTATAATATRAATAAGTAAAGCAAGGCATTTGTTTATACGGATGAAATGAACCAAAGATTATTTGGCACTCGTAGGGAACCTAAGAYGAATCGGAGAGCGTTCGGTGAGGAATACGTTAGCAGAAAGGACGCCGCCTTTCATAGTTTTAACGGMATYAACATGTGTACGGTTACAGAGTGASATCATCTATTTAGCATGTTGTCATCAGCCCGGGTCTGCGGTCGATTGGTCATGAATGTGATTATTGTATCATTCGATATTTTTTAGGAAATATCCCTTATAGGCAGCCAAATAACCGATTAGTTACAAATTAAGGGTTATTTCCATCTGTATATTTCTACTGGCATGGRGGGGGGGGGGGGGGGGGGGGGGGGATCGGGAAGCACTACTCAAGACTAAACATATTTTTTTCTTTTCATTTACATTCTGGTGATTAACATAAACGTTTCAGGTTTTGATGTAACCAACACCAAAACGACATGATACAAAAACTGTCGCTTTTTCTAAAAAAATTTCAGTAGTGAGAATTACGTGCATGTGCAATAATAGCATGGGGTAGCACTTACAAAACTTAAAAAAAATTCAGATAAACACAATCATGTTATCAGATTGATCTTCTTTGCTAATGCTTACGGAAAAGAAACAGAAAGTGCAAAACCTTTGCTAAATATTTTGAATATCTTAAATGTTGACAATAGAGTGCAAACATTAAATGTGTGCACTATTCCACTATTTACTAAAAAATAGTGTTAATTAAACAATGGAAAACAATAGAATTAGCATAATTTAGCAGTATTTAGTGGTATTTATGTTGCACAGGTTTAGTGTTTGTACTCTATATATCGMCTTCATATTTTTCAATTTACGCAAGTATGGCATTGTGGGGCCAGAAATATTGAATTACATGTTTGTAGGGGGGTGGGGGGGGGGAGTTAATTTTATTTTTTTAGAGAGCTTACATTTGGAAGTTGGTTTTAATAACTTAAAAGTTTTTCACATAATTAAGAGATACATTATCTAGAATAATTACGTGTATCTTCGAATTKTAACCCACAATTTTTTTCCTCGTTATAGCTTTTCTACTTAAAGAATTAAAGGCACTATACGGCTATTAAATCTTTAAAACCCTGATTAATTTAGTAAATAACTCTAGATCTAGCAAGTCGTTTTAGTATTTGGTTTGACCAATCTTCGTTGTTAATACTGTAAAAACWATACGAGACAATCTGTCATCCAGCTATAATGACTTCAAATCTTCGCTGAAAACATTGCCTAATAATTTTAATATTACCATAASCTACTCTCTTACCTTCTTTTTCGAAAAAAGCTTTCAATCTTCTTCATTTTGAAGCGTGGTGGAAAAGGCTTGACCAAACGTGAACCATACGTTTTATACTGCCACGCACGTCTGCAAAAGTTTTTCATCGGGCGGGAAATTTTACCTCCAAAGCCGAATAAATTCACTTTCGGTCTATTCGAAACGAGCCCAGTCCCTGAATGTCCCAGGACTCCCAAGGCTCTTACGRACTTCTAATATGTTAAAAAATGTTCGTACATTTGAAAGAATTGTTTATCTAATTTTAAAATAATAATAATCGAAGATTGTTTATGGTATGTGGACATAAATCTGTATGAAGCTCCAGAATTTTTTCAGATATGGTCTAATTTCGATAAAAAAAATAGATGAAAAATAAAATATAAATTATACTCCCTACCCCTACCCCCATCCCCATCCCCGCCCCGAATTTGTGTATTTATTATTCGTGGATAAAGAGTTGTCGCAAATCATGACACGCTTTTCCTGAGAGGTGTATTTTGCCAAAAAGAACAGAATCTGACACCGTTGAGTTGAGAGACGTTGCCCCCCTCTTTAAGCACATAAAATTAGATATTGCCTGCACCCTCTTGATTCTCGAGCCCCGCCGGGTTCCTGGGAAACTGCCATATCTGTTCTTATGTCCCAACCAGCTCTTAGTCACAACTGGTTGCCAGYGAGAATTTCAGGGAAAAAACAGCTCTCCAAGCAAGGAATACTCTAAGATTTTTTGCCAGGAAAATAAAAATTTTCTAACTAAAAAAAATTATAAGCCGTTTTTGACGTTATATAAGCCTTTTTGACTTAAAAACGTTTTCCAGGAAAAAAATCATTTTAAAGAAGGAAGGTCTCCATATTTGCTTGTGAGATTGTCAACAATGCTCAAAGTCCCTTTCCCATGAAAAAATTCGTACAAGAAGAGAAAAACAGACCCCTTCGGCTACTGCTTTCGAGTGTTCTCCCAACCATCCTAAGCAGTTTATTTTGCCAGAAAACCGCTTCAAGCTATCGTTTATTGCTTTTATATTATAACCGGAGTCCGCCATTTAGACTCAAAAGTCTTTCAAGACAGCAGGCTGGTTTACCGGCAAAATAAACCATAGCTTTTCTCATGAAATCCGCCAATCAGCGCGCGTGTTAGAATTGTTCTATATCAAATATAAAAACAAACAAGCGCCTGTATTTCAGTCATGCATCGGTCTTTAAAAGTACTGTGTTTCACTTGTACCTACCGACCGTAAATGATCTATTAAACGCCCACTTTCTAATGAACTCCTCCTATCTAATGAACGCCCCCCCCCCTATGCTTACAAGTTTGTATTAAACGCCCCTCTCTATCAAACGTCCCCTGTCTATTAGTCTATTAAACGCCCCCTCCCTCTCCCCTCCGTACCACCATCCATCACTAGAAACAAATGACTTAGGAATGCCGGTAACACAACATTATTAACTACAACGTTAATAAATACCAGATTACCGGGGACTCCTAGTTAATCCACGCTGACTGACCTGACCTTTGATGGGATCCCTTATTGACCAAGCTTTCAGGCAAAATTTGGAAGAATTATTGTAGAATTATTTTTTTAGAAATATTTTTTTTGTAAATTTTGACACATGCAGSCCAGCCATAGAATTTTAGAAACCGTAGAAACCTGTATCTTTACAAATTATTATCTTACACTAATATTTTTAGCTGTTGTTTATTTGTTTGATAGTTTTTGTGAAAAGAAATGTACAAGCGAGCGCTTTTATCGTGTTAATCTTCTTCGTGTTAATCCGCTACGCTCGAAATCAATGCTGTTGAAAGGCGACGTGCCATCCGTCGACGGGCAATTCTGACATACACTATTATTGTATCATCATCATCATCATCATCATCATCATCATCATCATCATCATCATCATCATCATCATCATCATCATCATCGTCATCATCATCATCATTCAATCAATAGTTGGGCTGCCTATGATACTGAAACAAATTCTCTTCATTTTAGGTCACAAGAAAAGGTAAGTAGCATCAATTTGATTAATGGACAAATAATGAGTAGAGTGTGCATTAGTACAATACAACCAAAAGTTTCCAATTGCCTTCGACAAGTCAATACGGTATTTTGTGCGTAAACTAGCAGAATCAACTTCAAGTATAAAATGTCTTTTTGTTTTTCATTTTCACTAAACAAAAGTAATGAAGAAATCGCTGTTAAAGGACTGAAAAGACAATCCCTAGAATACAGCGAGTATGAAGTAATGCCAGCCATAAGCAAAACACAAAAAACTACAGTCAACTATCAATCTGAGTACAAGGCGCTCGACCCATCAAAAATAACTACAAGAAACCAAGAATACGCATCACTAAGTGTAATCACTTCTACATCAAAATCCTCGTTGGCTAGCATCACTTCCGGTCATGACGTCAAAACTAGCGACAATTCTGCAAAATCCAAACGACAAGGAATAGTCATATCGTCCTTAAGCGTTGATCGTCGTATTCCTTCAGCGTCTCAAGGAGAGGAAGCAGCATCTTCAAAACAGTTGCCAGTTTGTAAACCAAAACCAAGTCAAACTATCGACCGGGAAAAGCTAAAATTTAACCAACAGCAAACACCTGCGTTGTCACGGAAAAGGAATAATGATGGAACTGCGGGTTCTTTCAAACCAGCCATCCGTCCAAAACCAGACTGTAAAAGACTCAAGAAGCCACAACACAGATATGAAAATGCCATTTTAAATAATTGAATGTCAAGTACGATTGACGAAACGTGACGAAACTTTTGAGGCATGCAAAATTGAAAAATAAAAACAGGTTTTTATTGCCCAACAAACAACAAACAAAATACAAACCTGATGATTCGCGTCACTCAACGAGATTCCGAAACATATTACCAACACAGCTAATACACACTACGAAAGGGTTCGACGCTGTATCCTATCCAAAACATAGTGAAATCTCTGCCTATTATCGATAAAAAACACACACAACATACAAAGCGTCAAGCTATTTGTACTCAAGAAAGCATCATTATGTATTTTATGAGTGACAATTTGATAGTCGTTGAGTCCTAGCCTTGGCGATACATGCAGACATCAAAATTAAAAAGACAAACTGACGATCAATCATCAATGGTAATACATGAGAGAGATTTCAATACAGGTGATTCCATTTAACTCATTAGGTTTGCGACTTTATGTCTTTCCGCGTAGTTTAAAATATAACGTCTGTTTCTTTTGTAAGATCATGTTTTAAATTAATTGAAAAAAAAAAACAACCATCAAGCAATCACCTACTAAGAGCGCATGACTCGATAACTTATTTCTTAATTTTACTTTTCTATGCCAAATTCTGAAACGTCAACAGATATCGCCCGGGGATAAAGTCTCGACGAGAATGAAGTCACAGATTTGATAGCAAGAAAAGCAAACTAATCAACGTCATTGCAGTTATTTCAAACATTTATTATATTTGCTGGTAATATGACTTCCATCGTCACTATATTAAAGAAGTATTTGTATAATTTGTGGAAATTATAAATAGCCCTTCTAATGCTTTCAAATTCCTTTCTCTGTATACAAAACATGCAAAACCTGCCGAGTATTTACATATGATTTAAAGCTTTTTGAAATCTACTCCACTAGTATCATTCTTGTTCTTATCTGTAAGTGCCGAGTCCGATTAGAAAATKAGGAAAGATGACTTGGTCTGTAGACGCTGTTTTTCCACTCGATGAGCGAATTTCATTTCAACCCCGCCGTGGCTTCACAATCTGTTGTTTCTGATGTCGCCGCCGTGATTGTCGCAGYTGACTAAAATTAGCCTCTGGAAGAACAAAAATATCATATAAGAAATATAATAATCTATGCGTGATTCCCTCTCCCATAGCGCGCTCAACGTCACACAGAGATTTTGCAAAATGCAATGATGATTGATCGTTTTCAACACTAGAAGCGTCTTGGAAAATTGTATAATGAGAATATGATCCAATCTTGCGATTCTTTCTGAGTATATTGAAGTAGATCGATGAATGAATTAACTATTTCAAATAATAACCCATAATTCACTTATAATAATAATCGCTTATTCGGAATACAACCAATTACGTCCTATACACAAATAGGCAAGTGCGTACTTGAAATGATATGTGCCCGCCGGGTCCTTAACAAACCGATTTGACCCACATTTCAAAAAGAATATCAAAGTTGGCGCTTTTAACTAGTCGAGGACTAGAATGAAAATAGACCCCGAGTAATATAGCCAATCGGAATGTAGGATTATCAATAGCCCACTAGTATGGTAATACTCATTTAGAAATAGTGTAGTAATGTTTTAGTAATTCACGTTAGACGTGGAACGACTTTCTTTGATCCTTTAGTCCCATGAAGTTGATATTTTCGATAACGTTTTTTAAATGAAGATTTTCGTTTTAAAGCAAATAAGAATATGCAGATAGCYGGACATGCCTAAACATAGGCTAGATAATACACTGACTTGATAGTGCTACAGAGATGTGAGCCATGTCGACCTCTTCCGTACTTGCAAGAATGAGCTCGCTACGATCCMGTACTTTGTATTGTAGCTCACTGAACGAATCGAATTCTTGGAAAATTTCAGAACGTTTTGAATATGCTGGAAACGCACTATATATACCAAACACACAAAGGATTTGCAGGGACCGCGGAGCGGGATCTTGTTTGGGGGGGCTAGCGGCGAGGAGGTACTAGGGGGGGTCGTAAATTTCTGAAATCTTAACTCTCGGAAATGCCATTTCCAGCGTTTTGAGGCGTTATCCAAGACATATTTACCGCAGACACGGTCAGCAATATTATYRATAAAATCCCAAAGAMTTCATAAGGAGGCTCTTCGCTTTATTTAAGAAAATTCAAAATGTCGGAAATATTATTGGGGGGCCTGTAGCCCCCCATCCCCCCCTGCTCCGCGGTCCCTGATTTGTTATAAAAGTAAAAAAAGTCATTTTACCGGCTTGAATTCGGTCAATGTTGATTACAGAATGCTGTGGTACGCATCTGTTAGTTTTCACAATGCGGACAATAATCCCTGGAGTAGCGCGAATCACACTTATATTWAATACCTTCACAAAATCCACATGACAATGGGCAATATTTAATCATGTATGTTCTTATGCCCCACGATCCTGACTCACAGCCACCAGCAACGTTTTTGAACAGTGCGCAGGTATGCTCATGGATATTCATACAGGCTAAAAGCGAAAGAAAAAAGTCAGCTATATATGAATATTCTAAAAATTCAGTTACATCGAAATTCAAAAAATAGCAAAACTGTGACAAAAAATAATAATATAAAAAAATGCTCATTGAAAACAGTACTTTTTCACAGAATTAAGACCTACTAATCAAAGTGAAACAAATCAAGCCTGAACTAGAAAAATAACATAAAAAACAAAAACTGCCTCAATCAATTCAAACAAATTCTAACTTACGTCTGCATCCACGTCCATGTTTTCCAAGAGGCATCAATCCGTCCCAGCAACAACCGAATGCGGGATTTCTTTCTAAACATCTTTTAATAGGTGGTGCTGGATAACCTAAAATTTCGATTTGTTCGAATGTACATCATTTTGCTCAAACAACTCGAAAGTTTAGKTTAAGATTTCATTGAAACTTCGTCAGTATATCAATTATGTTATTAAAAAAAGATTATGAAAATTTTATTACAATCTCTGCGGTGATTTTCGAGAAAAAAAAACATTGAAGAAAAATTAAGGTGTTTTTATTTTGCACCGTTTATCCAAATGGCTTTGCTTTTTGGCAAATTAATTTATCAACAAGAATTGTCGATAATCACTGTTACTTCTGTGAAAATTTGACTGCAATGTAATCGAAATTTGCGATTAGTTGGAGTTTAAAAATACGCGCGAAGCGCTATTTATTACGATCGAAACACCTTAATACGAAMTCACCGCTATAAATGTGAGAATGTCATACTTACTGCAATGGCCACAAGAGTAAGGACATCTTTTGCTGTCAGGCATTGATTCTCCACAGTACAAATGTTTTCGCATTCTTTTGAAGTAACAGTAAGCCACAGTTTTGTCAATGCACAGCTTTACTAAAATCAGTAACATCTGAGGTTAGTAATGCGATGATTTATTGCTAAAGGGAATGCTTATTTAACTATATTTCAATGATGACTGTTCTTATGATGGTGAGATGCTATTTACCATACATACCGCGAGGAAGAGTAGATTACGAGTTGACGTATGACTATCAAATTTTAGTGCATAAACCGAGTGGTCTAATTGTTTTAGTATCTACCAAACTATACCATAAATTGAAATGGAACAGAAAAAAGGAAACTTTCCTCCACTTTGTTCCATTTTTTTATGCTTCAGTCTCCATACGACCATGTTCCAACAATAGATTAATAGCCGATCAGGATGTATTTATTCTACATAGAAGTATATTCTTACCTTCGCAGCTCATGCCAAATTTACCCTCAGCAAATGTGTTTTGGTCCTTACAACAACCGTATTCTGAGTAGGCACAAACTAAAATAAAATTAAAACATAACTTTTAACTATGATCTCGCACTAGTCAGACGGATATGAGCATGCTCTTTCCCAATGAATATATTAAAGCTGAAGTCCTAAAACTTTAGTATCATATTCCTCTTTGSCCTTGTTCCTAGGTGGCACATACTGCCTCCACCAAGACATTACAAGAAGCAATATTCCTGATCATTTAYCATTTTAAARGACTGAATTGTTCTCCTACTTTGCCCAAATACTTACAACTTGGCATTTTTTGCCCAGGTCTCAATCTTTTTAGGTCTGCGATATAGGAAGGAGATTTCTTTATCATGGCTATTTTTTCTGTTCGAGACAGTCGTTCTCTTGGTTTACGCCTGGGCTGAACTCCTAAAACATGACAACAAAGGAAATACCGAATAGTCAGTGTTAGTATACATTCAAAGTAATACGCACTCGTTAAAGCAGTAAATATACAATCCATATAATATGCGATTCAATACAAAAAAGAGTTAAATTCCTATATATTGATTACTCGTCTTTTATTGACCGGAACAAACAACTATCTTTTTATAGTATTCTTCGTTTTCTTCAGAGCAATAAAAGTATGAATTATAATTTTGAAAAAGCAATGGAGAACACGATGAAATGCTTTAGTCTTTTTGAGTGTTCTCCACCATCCAAGGGCTCCACTTCTCCGATAAACCACGGCAATCCATCGTTTGTTACTGATACGAATATAGAGAGCGCACCTGACGACATTCTTGGACCAATCAAAGCGTGAGTAAGGGTAAATTTCTATTTTAAGAGGGAGTGGCTGTGAATGGCAATCGTTAAGAGAAGACTGCATAATCGATAAGGAACAGTTGGATGTCAATGATAYAAGGCGGCTATTTTTTATAGATGGTGGGTATGTTCTCGATTAAACTTTTGGCATTTCAAATCTAATAATGATATCAATAAGAATTTTTTTTATATTAAAATATRATTTGAAACGACTGCTGACCTACACATAAGTGATTATAGTCCTTCATTATTTACCACCCATATCTCCTTTCGGTCGTACAATCGCMGTTATCTCACACAACCGCTTTATTATAACAAAATAGACAAAGAATAAGAATCGTTTTTTTTTTTGCTGCTATAGAAGATATCAAAAGTTAATCCYTAATATATTTAAAGTGTTTTTCCTCGACGAATAAAAAACACACGCAGTTATATTCGGAAGCCGTCTGCAACGAAGCCTGATTTACGGATTGTCAACACTGATTATACACCTTTCAATCCGACGGAAATATTCTGATTYCTCTAATGTCATCTGCTAATAATACATAGATGTGCCACAAAAGCGCTTCAAAATGGAAGGGCCTGGTAACTCGACATGACAAAACTCAAGAAGCTATACTGCATGTGAGTGGCTGTTTAAAATGTCAAGTTCACACATGGTTGCGACAAATCAGATGACTACCCACTGTGATGATATTTATCGAGTCTCATCACATGTCACCAGTGATTCCATACTTTAGACGTATATTGTGTTGTGAACAATCTCAGTAAACAGTCTTAGACGTCATAAATCGAGAGTGAATCGATGTAAGTCCTTAAAGTTCTATATAAGAGTAGGATTAAAGATGCACTAGGCATACTGAGCGTGAAACGTGTCAGAGTATTTTTAAATATTATTATTCATAACAGTTCCCAGCAAACCATAGAGAAATTGGTGATGTCCATATCTAAAATACGATAAAGAATTATGCGTGTTGCGATTGTCGCGACAATGGCGTGGGGTAATCCTAAGGCAAATGCCGATTCTGGAATAATTCTTCACACCTTACGAGGGATGACTGATGGCTGACGTCAATGTACTAGCTGAACAATTGAAGGCATGCAGTCCATACAATAAAAAGCATTAGCAATAAAGTGAAATTAGCTACTTTAATCATTAATATATGATTAACAGATAAAAAGATGTTACCGATTCGAAGGCGATAAGAAACAGATGTCGACAAAAACTGAGATTAGTAACAAAGAAAAAGATAAATTGACACATGTATTGGAGCGCAGTGTACGCAATCCATATTACACAGTCATAAATACAAAATAAAGAAAAGAACAATGATAAAACTGTAAGGGAATCAGACACATAATAACAACTCCAATGAAAACCTGTTTTTTTAAGGTTGTACTTTTTTTTATTAAATACTAGTATCTGTAGTATCCATAAAACATATATACTTACCGGATGCTCCCAATACAAGACATAAAGACAAAAACAAGACGCCATAAATCCCCATGATGAAGTTGTTGCAAAACTTTAAAAATTTAGTGATGCTGCGCTGCTTATATATGCACTTACCGGAATGAAAGGAATTTGGGTATGAGAAATGTCCAGTCAGGTAGGTCAAATGACGGCATGAAGAAAAACTTTATTTATCTCAAACTAAACGCTGAACCCACGGCGGTTTTGAAGTTAACCTAGTCTTCCATGGAGGTCGGCCAATTTTGTGAACCAAATATGAGACATGTTTTCTAGTAAGACGGATTTCACACTGGGATGGCTGATATTAACTTTTTTAAAGTCGTTATATAACAAGGATACAATGGTTTGCCATGAAATGAAGAACTGATGTAATGGCAACGGGCTCAGTTTGTTAGTAAAAATCCAAACAACTTCATTGCCAAAAACCGTCTTCCGGTATCTCATATGCTTCTCAAGGTCATTAAAGCAGAATTTTATTGAATTGGATTCTTTTTTGTTTCCTTTTAAATACGCAAAATGTTGGGTGCTGGTGTACTATGTGTCCATTTGCCCTCGAACCCGAATTGTCGGTCATTTTATGACGAACAATAACATGATAATGCATAAATTTTTTTATAAAACGACCAATTACTGCTTGGGATAGCATTGTAAAAAACATATTTTGATCAGAAAGGTACGTTTTCATGGAGTGCAAAGGGTACACCTTTCATTCCAATGTGGTTTGACAATGCTGCTTCCTATTGAGACAAATTTATTTCCACAGCTTGATTTCCATATAAACCAATACATAACAGCAATGATATACCATTGTTCTATGTTTAAACTTCAATTGAATCAAACTAATTTGAAATGACTTTAACAAATATGACTGCATCATGTAATCATGAAAACCAGAGAGGTCACTCAGGAATATCACATATTTGACTCGCTTATTACACATCCTCACGTACTCAGAATTGTTGAATGAATTGTGGTATTTAAAGCAAATCTGATAAACATCGGTTTCCATATCAATTAAGATCACATAAGGATTGATTACACTAAACGAGGGCTACTTAAAAGCATGAGTGAATCATGACATGTTTGTATTCTCCAGGTTAATTTACACCCGTTTTCAGAAACCATGGTACTGCTTGCAAAACAACTTTAACCATTGCAAGGGAATCACTAACAAATCTTCCTTCTTTGTAAACACCAAAGGAAATTTTGACCATATTATTCGCTTTCGCATGTCTGCTGCCTGCAGGGCATTGCTCATAATTCAATGGGCACCCGGAGATACCGTAGATTTTTATTGTAGAGTGTTGAAAAGATCTTTCACAAGAAAGTGTAGGAAACAGCCCGCGCCAATAAGATAACTCGATCCATGAAAACAACTTTTCTCTCCTATAAAATGGCGTTACGATCTTTTCACTGGTGCCAGGTTTCGAAAGGGAGAAATGCATGTATTTTATGGGTGATTATATGACATTGATTCCTGTTCTATTTTGTGCTGACAGTTGTAAGCAAAAACATCAATTCGGGTGAAATTATTCATTGTCGCAAAATTAAGACAAATTAGCGTGGAATTGGACAGGAAAAAACGTTTTAAAGAAATTTGAGATAAACATTGTGATACGAAAAGACCGTACATTTTTTATCATTTGCAGTATGAAATGCTGAAAGGATTATAATCTGTCGTTGATTGCACCCATACCAGATTGTAACACAAAACGTAGAAGCGCGTCTGTTCATCCTCCCATTTTTAAAGTTAAAACTTCTCCCGCGATTCAGTTGTTTTGTAGTCATTTGACTTGTGTAACACAAAGATACGTGAATATGACCATGTTTGGTTGCACCCACAACGATACCACAACTCTTATCGCTCACTTTCCAGTCCTTTCCATAACATCAGAAACAACCTTTCATTCATTCCGTTGTTGCACTGATAGCCACACGTGTTGTGTCTTTAGCTATTTCGAACATTCATCGGTTAGGTCACCGTTTGAGTAGGTACTTGACATGTCTGAGATTTATCTCAGGTGGTTCCGTCTCTGAAAATACGACATCAACCTCAGACGGAACTCGTTATGTTATTTATGTCGGAAAGACTTTTGATAAATGGAAAAACAGATCTGATGCTCATTACTTGATGGTTTTTAACCTGGGTGTGAACTCTAAAACATCACGTAAAAACAGTATGATTAATAGCATTGATATTAAAGTGAAGTCATTCAACCCGTGAAACAAAATTCGACTACTAAAGTGTGATATTAATAGTCTATAGAATCGAAAGAAAACAATGCAATTAGGGCGTACTAAGGTGTACTAGTGTAATATCTATTTCACTGTTTTTTTGACTTCACTCTACATTTTTAAATTACTCAAATGCCGGTTTACACTGGCGATTTTTCTCCGATTTATACTGCAACTTTTAGTGCGATTTTTAAATTTAGGATTGATTTTGCCATATCATCCTGTGCAGACGTTTAGTAAGTTCATCCCAGTGTAATGAATAAAGTTTACAACTTAATTCTAGCATTATTCTCCAGGATCAAAATGACAACAAAAATCGCCCAGCTAAACAGGCCAGGCCTTTTAGAAAGCCAACATTTCGTTGCGATATTTGAGTCCCCTTTTAATTACCACTGATCAGTAACACTTATATWCAAACTACAAACACTACTGGGTAGTCCAACTCTTTCTTATTGTGAATCATCACACGTGCGCACTCTCAGCTGAGCAGAGTGAGGTCAAGGTAAATCTTTGTAGTTACTTTCAACTTTCCTTTATTTGGGACGATTATTATTTGGCGATCGAGAATAGAAAGGGTACATCAATGTTGTCCAAATACGTCAATGGAGTGTTCTAATAATATATCATCATAGCTCATGGCACAATTTATTACACGAATATATATGCGCCTAATTACAAACACGTTATCCCAGAAATAGAACTTCCGCCAGTTCAGAGTTACAGCGGAAATCGTTGCATCGCGACCTTGTTTTGAAGTTTGCCTGGATTTTGTTCTTTCTTTAAATTTGATGGGCGGAGCTTTTCGAAAACTCATTCAATCATTGGCTGATTAGTATCAAGCTCCGCCCCCAAGTCGCAGAAAAACCTAAATCCCAACTATTTCCTTTGAACATTGAAGTCGCGATGCAGCGGTTTCTGCTGTAATTCAACTACAAAAGAAAGTGTTTAGTCTCAGTGGTCTTTTTTTTTAATGTATTCCTAAGTTCCYAAATCCCTCAATCTCAGCACAACGTTTTGGTAATTATGTGTATAAAGATTGCAACTAGTACAAGTGAATTGGTGGAACTGGAATTCATTTACATTTTGTATTGGAACATTGCCCTGCGGTTTTTTTAGATAACCTTAATGATAAATCTTCCTTTGATCTCACTGAAGGTTATTGTCGACTAATTCCTAATTCAGCCAGAGCTTTTTTGGAAGGTTTTGTCGTCAGTTAATTCAAACAATTTTCAAATACTAAAAGATCATATTATTCAATAAAAAATAAATAAAAAAGATCATATTATTCAATAGGGACAAAGGTCGAACACTGCCTGGAAAYTATTTATGCTGGCTCAATAATTAATTATTRTTCTTATCTTCCTTGCACTTCATTTGTAACAGCGCGCGCATTGTAGGTATGGAGTCATCTATAAGTGTACACTACAGATGATAGCAAGATTACGTTTCCACCACTTTGCATGGTCTTAACATGATTGACTTCGATCTTTGACATGCTTTGAAGATTGCCTCCCTTTGTCAGTCAATTCATATTCGGCCAAATTTTACTCATGAAGCCTAAACGTCAGGGAAATAGCATGTACCAGTTATAACTAAAAGCTTTAAGGCTGATTTACACGGTACGATTTGTCGCGCGCGACTTGTAGTATACGATTTTACTACAAGTCGTAGGATTTTAAGCAGTGGTTCAAAATCCTAGTCGTAGGTTGCGTACGACTGTTGTAGACAAGTCGTAGGGGCATTTACACTGCGCGATTCAACATAGTCGTATACTACAAATCGTACGAGACAATCGTGCCGTGTAAATCAGCCTTTAAAGTTAAACTTAAAACATGTTGTGACCATTTGTACCTATCACAAGTCTTTCATCCAGTTTGATCATTATTACATGGATATACGATAACATACTTTTGGTAATTAAAGACATCCTCAAATGCAAACATATTTACATTTCCATGTTTGTGTAGAGTACGCACACTATGGCATCTTGTCAGCTTGACAAACTTTGAACACAATTTGTAGTGGTATCGTTTGGCAACCATTGAAATTTTCTTAACCACATTGTAAGCCGAATACAGTCAACAGTAAACCCATAAGTGAACCAGCACACTAAGATAAACCCACAAGGGAACCAGCACACTAAGATAAACCCATAAGGGAACCAGCACACTAAGATAAACCCATAAGGGAACCAGCACACTGAGACAAATCTATAAGGGAAACGAACACACAGTCATACACAGGATACTGTAAACATCGTGCAAAGCAAATTAAAACACAAACAAGTGCAGTTTGATATTGTTTTATTTTTACAATTCGTCTACGATACCGATTAAAAAGCACTTACATTTTTGTTAGTTTTGCACTAAACAAATACATTATTAAAAAWWTTTTTGGGTGTATTGACTTGGCTTTCACATAAATAGTTTTATGTWWAATRTTGCAAAAAGGAGCGCGAAAAAGTCAATTTTATCTGATATGAAATAACCTGCCTCCACTGATTGCGACCAAGGGTTATGAAATCGACTACAACGTAATAGTGATACCATAAATGCGCAGGGAAAGGCGCGATGTTCGGGGAGGGACGAAAGGCAACCACACGTTGAGTGACTTTAAACAAGTCATTGGCCAAACAGATTGACACTAAACGTTCTAAATAAGCTTAACCAGCAAGCGAATTCATGGGAGGTTTAGATTAATGTGTAACTACAGTCGTTATTGTAAGCAGCATGTTCCCGCCATGCAATGTGCATATTGACATAGCTCACTTATCAACACCTCGAATTAGGCGTTTTGAAAGTGTCATAAAATAAAGTTTCCCATTTGAGACAACGCGTCTTTCCCTCTGTCTTTCATTTGGAAAATGTACACTCAAATGAAAATGATAGAATAATAACCAAAAAAAAACAAGCCAGGTCTTTTTTAGTAGGAACGACAGCTATTGTAAAATGGGAAAACTTTGGTTACGGTCAGGCCGTAATAATAATATACATACATATGACCAAATTGTACATAACAGCCAAAACCTGATTTACACTGTACAGGTTTTTGACTCATTGAAACTTCCACTAAGTAAACATTCGCCTGAATGCTTAAAAATTCACTTAATTCGCTTGAATGCGAAATTGCCTACATCCGCCTACAACTATCACAATGCTTGCTCTAGCATATTTAGATTTACTTAGATTTATCAATGAGCACACACCACATTGTAAAAAATATCGCAAAGCATTGTGGAAGTTTAGATGTATCAACGATGCCAAACATGGATATTTCCATGTTTGTGTAGAGTACGCACACTATGGCATCTTGTMATGTTGACAAACTTTGAATACAATTTGTAGTGGTATCGTTTGGCAACCATTGAAATTTGCTTAACCACATTGTCAGCCGAATACAGTACAGTCAACTCTCTCTATTAAGGACAGCCGCGGGACCGTAAGAGTCCGCAGTAGCGAGATCCGTAATAAGGAGAGTTACTTTCAGTCATTTCTTTGTATTTTTCGTTGAGGATTCAGTATATTACTGTCCGCAATATCGGGGTCTCCGTTGAAGCGGGGTGTCAGTAAGGCGAGAGTTGACTGTACAAGTAAATAAAAATTATTGGAGCTATTTTGAAACAAACAATATTGATTTTACATTACAGATCGAGTGTAGAGACTACTCTACTATGGCAGACATTTCGAACATCACTGACAACAAGGATTCTGGAGTTGCAATTGTTACAATCGAAATTCAAACTTTCGCTCGATCTATGAATCTTTGCACTAGCCCAATTGGATCCGAGAACCTTTGCGGTCGTTTGTTTTGTTTTAAAAGAGATAAAAGCTGGCAAGTGGTCCTTAAAATAAAGCATCACATTCAAAATGCTAAATCGGTTATTAGATGTTCGACTCATAACTTTGGCTTCTTTCAAGCAATTGACTATACTATGATATATTCGGATTGGGTTTATGCAAGTAATTAATGATTTACATGCTAACAAAACTATGCGATGTTTTGACAAAAACTCGATTTTTCAGAAAATTGGTCCGATATATATTTTGATATCAATTTAAGAATCTTCATATGACACAATCTTGAAAYGAAAGTTTTTTCGACTATTTTTCGCCATGATATTCACTGTCCCGAGAYTTTGGCCTCGARGAATTTCTTAAAACTTGGCGAGATTGTGTCTTTTGTTTATATAAAGGATTCTAAAATTTTCATTAAAATAAAACGGATCAATTTTGTGAAAACAGTAATATGTCAATTAGCATGTAAATCACTAATTTCTTGCATAAATTAAAATCCTAAAGACATAATTGCCCTAGTTCATTATAACATCACATCAAAACATTCTATTGTTTTAACGCTAAGGATTATGGTCGCCAGAAGGGATCAGAGTGACTGCATATCAAATAAAATGTACATGAACAATCATTTATACATGATATATATCAAAACGTGATTCATTGAGGTTCTACTTWAGTAGACAATATAAATGGGCCCAAATTTCCACTGTTTTTGAGCATCGTGTTCCGATGTAAACATACTGTGACGTCATAATGAAATAAGGCAATTGAAATTGAAATTATCTTGAGAATGAAATACAAAAATAATAAACTTGTATTAAAAGAACTATTAAAAAAAAAGAAACTAATAACAAAAAAATCAGTTTTTTTACAAATCTTCTTTAGAACAGAGAGGAATAGATGACGGATTTTTTAACAGCTATTTGAGAAAACGTTTAATACTGACCATAATATACTCCACGACAAGATCCCGTCTGCACGTTTTCATAGTGTATTCTCATTTATCTATTTTTCCGCGCGCCCATGTAATATCCTCTATTTATTATACACAAACTGAGACACATTTACTATTTAAAAAATGTTCGTTCGTTCACTGATAAACGAACATMGAAAAAACACCGTTCGCTTTTCTGATTGGACGTACGATATTTGTTCACTTCACTTGGACAGGCCTTCCAGCTCTTGACGATGCGTTCGCGCGAAAATTCTATCAAGCAGTTCTAAGCAAAAGAAACTGAAAAAGGCAGAAAAAGACAACAAAGACAAAGTTGCTGCACCGCTGAGCTACGCTGAGGGTGAAATTTTATACGAAAGAGATTTCTTTGGCGTTTCATCACCTGAATTGCTTATGAATACTTTCTGGTCGAACACCGCCATTTTCAAAATTTACATATATTTTTTAACAGGATTTAAGGGTCATAGCTACTCATATAGTTGCTTGAATGAGATTTTTCACTTTCTACTTTCTTACTTGTCTTCCTATTGATTTAATTGTAACTTATTATATTAGGTTTTATAGCGCATTCAACAAAATAATACTTTTTCATAGGTCGAGAGGATTAATTGTGGTCCTGATAAGATTTTGTTTTACTGAATGTACTTTAAAGTAAAAAATAGAAATACACTTAGAAACACAAATAGAAATACAAATACACAAAGCATTTTTGAAAATAAATATTATCCTCTTAAATGTCCCAGTATGTATATAATAAACAGTAAACTCCATGGAAAGTGCTGTGTACAGTTTTTATTCACTTCTTGTTTCGTATCATAAAACTCGCTCGTTCCTCGTTCGTTCGTTTTATTGATACTTTACAACTTGTGAATAGAAACCGAACACACGCGCGCACTCTCCATGAAGTATTTTCTTTACGTCKCATCATTTACTGCGATTATAAAGAAGAATAAAACAAGGATACACATACAAGAAACGCCGGTCTTACCATTCTCACTTCAGTTTATAAAGTTAACAATGGAGAGCTTTACTTGCGTGAACAGGTATAGCTAATGGTATATATTTTGTCATTGATATCTTCGAAGTCATACTTCAGAATCATCTGTGTCATCATCTCTTTTATGTTCGAAGTAGCTTGTCTGCCTCCGGGTCGTCAGTTTCTTACTAACAGCGTTACTAGCATTACTTACAGCATTTTTAATGCTGTTTAATGACATGTTGCCTGTAAAAACAAAAAATCTCGTTTAGTAACCATAAAAGTACAAAGTCTGCAATACAGTGATGAACGGGTCGTCAGCTCTAGAACAGATCTGGGAAGCTTTCCATTTTTCGAAAAAATCCGGTTATACCATTATTTYGTATCCACCAAACCATGGACTATCACTAGATCAGTCAGTCTCGGCTGTTTGAAAATCATACCTTGGCCACACCTTACTTAAATGCTTAAAGTACTTCAAAATTTGCAAACCAGACTGGAGTACTCTCAACAAAATTAACATGCTGGTGTATGCCGGCACTCCTCAAAATGCCTCTTAAAATATTCTAATTACACCACGTATAAGGTTATACATATATATATTTAACTTATCAAACTTATTAATAATACATGAGATATAAATCCAAAGAGGGTCGATCATTAGCTCACACGATTGAGTCTTTAAATCCTGATAAAACATTAATTAATAAAACACTAATGCTATCAAATTTCAAACTTTAAGGTTTAATCCATCAAAAATTTATCAGGATTTAAAGACTCAATCTTGCGACCTAATGATCGATCATTATGAATACATCTCAAATGCTCACGCCCTAAAGAACCTACTGTAAATTTTTAGAATTTTTTCCAATTATTTCTAAACTTAAAAAAAAACTTCTAAAGGTTACCCAGTATAGTGGCTCGCTATTTTAAATTTCATACAGTTCTCCTGCTCATACTTTATSTATTACATACTGATTCATCTTTGCCCTTTTTAATCTATCATATGCTAAAAACAGTGTTTCAATGCCTTCAACTTTACATTCAACACTTCTAAWTTTTTTACAATTTCCAAAAAACCTCCTGACTACTCTAGTATTTCAAATATTTCATACCTGTACTTTTATTGGATTGATTACTCTCTTGGCGGTTAAATGAACGTTTCCTCTTACTTTTTACTCCAGCGTCGCTTCCATTGTCATAAATTTTCTTTCTTTCAACCATCTTTTTACTTGTAGGAAGTTCGTCAAGAGATCCTTCTCTGCTAGAGTCTGAATACGCTGCATTCATCATAATATGCTTACGTGCTGATATTGTACCAGGCATTTTCGGTTCTGGAAGCTCTACTTGTAAACAACAATGATCTTCAAAATCTATTCCGCTGTCTCTTGTATCTGCAAATGTGAAGAAACGAGAAAAATATACAAAGCAATTCTTAATAACTGAAAAACTATGGCATCGCTACCTATACATACAACTGCAGAAACAAGAACAAATACCCCTTAGAAGGAAAATACCTAACGACAAATGTTATTTAGCGACAGTAATGGAACGACAACGACAACAACAACAACAACAACAACAACAACAACAACAACAACATAGAACCACAAATGTTCACTGTCAAAATGAAGAAATGAAACAGAACCATCAAAATACAACTGGAAATTAAAAGAAAAGAAATATTACAACAGTAATGGAAAAAATAATAAAAAAATGCGAACCTCTCAAACATGTAAAAAAAATGTAATATATGCCTTAATAAAGCAATAAATTTATCATTTGTATTAACCACTTGAGTTTCTTGAAAAGATGTAATGAATTAGCCAGCCCACGTCTACACAGAAAAAAWTTATGAAACCATGTAATGCAATTTAATACTATTGGATGTAAAATAACGTTTTTTATCCGATACCTATTTTCTTGAACTTACCATTCAAAGAAMCATTTGCATCTGCTCCTTTTCTCGTCACAGTTAAGTCATTTAAAAGTTTTTTTACTATATTTTGCTGATTAATAGTTTTTAGGAACTCACAAAAGTGAAATACAGTAAGTTCAGGTTGAGCTGAAAATAGATATTCAAAAACTTTTTCARCTCTGTCGTTTTCATCTTTTAAGGAGGCAAGAGTTTCTGGTTTCATGCCGTAGTGAGCACCTATGTTCTCCCAGTTACCAACATCAGCAACTTTAGGCTTTATCAACTGTTCTAGCTCCTGTCTTTTCTCCAAATTTATATCTTTGAGGAGTTTTAACTCTGAAAAATAATAACCCTGAATAAATAAATAAATAAATAAATAAAAAGAATAAATAAAAACAAAAAATAAATAAACAAGAAACAACCAAACAACCAATAGATAAATAGATAAATAAATGTGTGTGAGAAGTTTTCCACTATTAAATACTGCTTTCATAGTCATTAATTATTCACGAGGTATCCAGCCAATCCCTGATTGTAATTTGTACCATGTGCAGCAATTGGAAACCAGAGGAAGTTACTCCTTTACTTTTTACCTTGTTTCCAGTTACTTCATCACGACCTTTTTTTTCAAACTACTACTAGCTAATAATAATCAAAGTATCGGAAATAATCAATTTACTATATAATTAATTTAGAGAAAAAAGATATTTTTGATATTTCTGCCTCAAGAATTGATCCCCAACCTTCCAATCTATATGTGCCGTCTTATACCATCACACCAGTTTCTGACGCCATTCCTTGGAAGATAACAAACTTATAAATCGTATAAATTAGGCTCATTGGGAATGCCGTGAATAGCAGACAAAGACAATTTGAATAGCCTTTGTTACCGGGAATTGGGAATTGAAGAACAACAAATGGTGCTTCTTGTATTCAAAATTATGAAAAACTGAAAACCTGTGTGGAGATCAATAAAAGTGAATWAAAATAGCCTTAACTCAGCGAGATTTTTTCAGAACTCTCTCAAATTTTAAAATTAGAGTATTTAAATAAAGTTCTTTTTACATCCAAAAAATTGTTTTCATGTCATAGGTATGCTCTTTAATCTATTGTTGTATGAAATGATAGAATAATAATACATTCAATATACAGCCTTTTGCACAAATTATGAGACATTTTTATATATATAAATATACCTAACCAAATATCAAAAACACCCCAGAAATTATGGTATATCTCTATTATATTTTGTCATGATTGCCTAGCATCAGGTTGTTACAGACAAAATATCAGCGACGGTATCCCATAATTTCTTGGGTGTTTTTGATATTTGGTTAGGTATATTTATATATATAAAAATGTCTCATAATTTGTGCAAAAGGCTGTATATTTATATATATAAAAATGTCTCATAATTTGTGCAAAAGGCTGTAACTGCATAATATAATAAAATATGTCTGACTATTGGACAACTCTCTTGAGGTGCCATGAAGTAAATGGTTATTTGAATTTCTAAGTAATTCTATATGTGTTGTTTACGGACCAAGAGTGTATGTGTTTTATCAGGATATATATAAATTCGAGCCAAAGGCGAACTTGTGTGATATAATATCTAATACTTTGATTTAATATTAATTAATTGTGTTTGTAGCCATTTTTAATTGGATATTAGTCACTCTGCACTGCAGTTATATTATGTATTATAYAAAATATTGTTGAATATTGTGAATGTTRCAAAATCCTACTATGAAATAAAAAGAGACACATTACCTTCACCCTGTCTTGGTTTAACATGGACGGTCATGTCATTACACTCTTTTTCTTTATCATGTCTTGGACAATGCAAATGACATATATATTTCCCTGAATCAACAATCTTCATGTCTTCTTTTTTCAACATCTTCTGTTCTTCATATTTCAATTCAATTCCATCTTTTTTCCATTTAAACTCACACTGTCCAAAACAACAATTGTCATTCTCATTTTCACAAAACACTTCCAGTAACAATTCCCCACCATGAACTAACAGTTTGGTTGATGTMATAGGGCCAATATAATCCTGTAATCTCAATTCAAAGTTCATCTCTTCAAGACCACACCTTAGAAGATGCATATCTCCATTTTCTTGCACTACTATATTATTTGCTTTTTGAATTTTTTGTCTTTGATTTTTTCTTTTTTTCTTAAGACAGTATATTAAAATAATCACAATAGCCAGAGAAGCTATACAGCTTGCAATTGCAATGGCAACAGTTGCACCAGTGTTCTTTTGTTCTTTTGCTGGGTCATTTTTGTCTACRGGTGTAGCTGTTATCAATGTTGATGCTGGTTTAGTAGGTGCACATCTATCTCCATCATGAAATGAACACTTCTTAGTTGGTGATTTACAAGCTGCAATCTGTATATCTCTTCCATCTCCACAACAGAAAGAACATGCCTGGCAGTTATGAGATGAATTGTCAAAGTAGAATCCATGTTCACAAGTGTGGGAACATATTGTGTCAGATTCCAACGTACAGTTTTTGGTAATTATTTCATGAGAGGAACAATGACTGCACTTCTTGCATGAGCTTGGTCCATATTCATCAGAGTATGTTAACCCTAGTTTACATTCAAAACAATCTACCTGAGTAGGAGGATGTTTCAAAAGGGTACCACAGGGCGGATCAAGTCCTTGTCCATGTGCACAAGTATTACATGCCAGGCATGATATTGAGTTATTTTTTAATATTCTGTACTGATTTTTTCCACAAATAGCATTGCCTACCTGTGGAATGAAATTATAATGTGAAAAACATAGTTGTAATTTGCTAGCTAATTTTATTAGGTGTGTTGRGTATCTGCTGATCTCGCCCCCAAGTGATCTTGCACCATAATTTAGCCCCCACTTAGTCATAGATATATATGCAGTCATAATGGTCTGTTTCCATGGAGAGTTCAGTTTTCATAAGTCACATTGGTCAATGACTCCATGACTCTATGCACCAATCAAAGGCTTCTTTTAGGGTAATTATGCTAATAGTCTTCTTCACAGTTACCTGCGCCATCTTGAAAGGTAGCCCTGCCTTTACATTGAAGCGAGACAACTGTTGAGCGTGCAATGATAGATACCTGTGAATAATTGTCTGTAGGTGTGAAAGAAGGTTCTATCATTGCACGCTCAATAGTTGTCTCGCTTCGATGCAAAGGCACAGCTACCTTTCAAGATGGCACAGGGAACTGTGAAGAAGACTATTAGATCGAACAAAAGACTGTGCACCTAAGAGACTAGTAAAACGATTAGAGTCATTTTCATCTGTCTGTGAAATAGGAATTGAACCATTAAATACTATTACTCGCTGTTAGCTTACATGCGACTGCGACATGCGACAAACGAATTAGGCAAACATGGTTTTGATTTTGCCTTTTGGTAGCCTACTACACCCTAATAGTTATCCCTAATAGTTATCATCCATTCTTGATTTATGGAGTTTTATCCTGGGGGACTACTTATCAAACTACTCTAAAACCTTTATATATTTTGCAGAAAAAGTCTAAAGATTGATAAAGATAATAAATACCTAAAGATCAGATGTTAAAGAAAAATTGATTTTTAATTATTAATATCTATTGATTAGTGCTTAGTTCTTGTAATCTTTTTTCTTTCGTTTATACTGTAATTTGTGAGAAAAATATGTAAACGTCTTGAATATGTATTTGTAAGTTTCGTGCCAYCTTTTAAGCCTAAATGCACTTCTTTCAAACTCTAAAACAGTGACTGGTCCTAACACCTTATTAGCTTTTTGGTTATTGGTTAGGTCCAGTACCTTAATTTGTTCTATTAAATCCGTCTTCAATTGCTTCTATGTAAAACATTATAGGTACAAATAAAGTTTTTTGTTGTTGTTTTTTGTTGTTGTTGTTGTTTGTTGTTGTTTTTTGTTGTTGTATCAAACACTAAATGTTTGTTTTTTGTTGTTGTATCAAACACTAACTATATCTGAAGTCAAAGAATCAAATGTAGTAACAAGATAACTTATTGAAACCAACRCAACTTAACATTTTTTATTTTTGCTATTGAGAACATCCTGTGTTCTTTAAAAAATTGGAACCTCTGGCATGCTATCCCAGTGATACCAGCTAAGCTAATAATGAATTTGTTGACATGGTTGAGATGGTCTTATATACTGATTTTATCTTAAAGTAATTTAAATTTACTAAATTTGTCGAGAAGCCAAAAATTAATGCTTCATGCTTCATCAGAGTACTCAAATACCGTGCATTCACCTGTGCTTACAAGCATTTGGATCCACTGATACAACACTAGCACTTGTCCTTTGACCCTCACAATGTAACACTGCATACTATATCTAATTGGAGTGTCTAAACAACCATTATTTTGAGTAATAGAACAAGAGAAATGGAAAACAAAATCAAATTAATATTGTTGGACAAGGTTGTTTTCATCAGCTTGGCACCTTGAGAATTTTCAATTCACTGAAAGAATGTTCTAAAAACGAAATGTCAGGCAAGGGATGTTTTTCAAAAATATCGCTAGAGAAATCATGATTTCAACTGATAGACTAGAGCAAGAAGTTTCCCAAGAAGTCAAAAATGCAACGTTCAAYAAGATTGCATACAGGACCACAGCATTCACTAACAGCTTCAAGGATCATTCATTAATTTGGCATGATTTACAGTGGACACAACATAATATTTCAATAAATTTCTATTGAATTATGAATGGAGAGCTGCTGTTTGTTTACCAACATTCTCGAGCAGCTCAATAAACCTTTGATCGAACGATAAAGCAACAGTTGCCGCTTGAATAAACGATCAAGTGTGTCCAAGACTTGTTCCTGATGTGTTACATACAACTATTTCAAAATCAAGCTGCCAATGGCAACATAACTCGAAGATTGATTGTATAGATGAATTCGGAACAATGAATCAAGTATATTTTAAGTAAACAATTTACAAATAATTTTTTTTCTTCAAAATCTTATTATTTTAACTTCAGTTATGGATAAGTTGCCTGGCGAAAAAAATGCCAGTCTTAGCTATGCGATTAATGCACTAGTCAAAGTAATATAGTAGGGGCATAGTAGGGCATAAGGTCCGGGTTGGTCAAATAATTAGATAAGGCCTGGAAACTCTTAAAATGTAACTTGGGCTTCCTGTAGCCCTATGAATGTCATGGACCCCCCACAGATAAGTTGAACTGCATGGCTGGTCATGTAGAAATTGCTGTAGAMARCAAARGATTTTATTCAAAATGGCATTTTGTTTCACTTAAATTTCACAGTTATATTCTAATAGTTTTCTCTTGATTTTTGTCCCAAGGGGGTCGGAGATTTGATTTCCCATTCTCCCTCACGATGTGGGGTATTTACAACCATTTGCCAAGTCCATTTTTCAAATGCCCCACATATCCCCACCCTGTGCAGGCTTTGGCTTTTTTACTTTGACTAGTGCATAAGTAATTTGCCATCGTAGCTCAGTGGATAAAACGTGGTCTTTGAGTGCAGACGACCCCGGTTCGAGTCCCAGGAAATAATCTTTTTTTTATTTCTTTTTTTATTATAAATTATTTTTCCCAGCAATTCCTTTAAGAATGCTTACTATGTAACGGTGAATTAAATGAAAGTTGGTTCGATCGGCACCATTGTACTACGAGTGTTTGCCAGTTTCCATAGCGGAAAKTATTATCGATATCTAACCAGGCAATAAACTATATATCAAATATTACAACAATGTAATAGTACGTTTAGCGATTGAATACAATTTTTGAATTGTAGACAAACATGGCTAAATAAAACATACTTAAAGTAGTTTTCGAAACGAATTAGTCGGATTGGCAAGTCTTCCTCATGCTTCTGTTGAGTCTGAACAACATATGACAACAAGTCAAATTATAATTATACCCTAAATAGTAAATTTCAGCACTTTGATAGCTTATCGGAAGGTCGAAAGGGCATATTCACAACCATTTGCTTGAAATCTTGTTTTCTACGTAAGTTCTTAAATGGTCAAATTYKRCCGAGACGTTTATCAASAACAATTTAGGGTCGAGAAGCTTCATGTAAGCTTACGTTTCCCTGGATCCGTTTCATTTACTCTTTCTAACTGTCGACACACACTCGAAGCGGAAACCRTTTTAAAAACTTCTTTCAATTTGTACATTTTACGCAAAAGAATAGAATCTTATAACGACATTATATTTCGGTGCTCGTAGCCCTTGAGAAGTAGTTTTATTGATTATGACACAGGAAACCCATGGTTTGATCTCGTGTCGCATAAAAGCTAGTAAAACAGCCATGATGTAATGCCTAATGCGCACATGGTCTAGTGGTAGTGTTTCTGTCGTGAAGCCAGAGTTTGGGGATTCGAGCAACATCAAGTACATGAATTTCTTTCTCTTAAAAAAAAAACAAAAAAAAAAAACAAAAACAGGTAGACCGTGAAGATGAATAATTAAAAATTAATAAGTCAAAAAAAAGCAGTTACTAAGGCAACAATGCAGTTTATAGGAAAGTGATCGAGCGAATGACAGCTTGTCCCAGCTTGTCGCAATCTCCGAGTTAAAAAGGGAGAGTCAAAGGGAGAATGCACCACCGAAATGGACTATGGTTACCAATGTTATTACCAATTATTTTAGAATTAGCTTATTTTAAAAAAAACTTTAATAGAATACTTGATTCTGTACACAACTTTCAGTACTTAGTACACTTGCTTAGTTTTATGTTGTAAATCTAAATGTATTTGAATTGCTGAGTGCAACATTGTAAAAACTAGTCTTATTAAACTTAGAACAATCTTCTTCCTCCTCAAGAGTAGAGAAGGGGTGGGCATAAACCTAAGACCTTAAGGTTACCCTGGACACTATTTTCGTCAAATCTTTCAAAATTTTTAAATTAGTCTGAGCGAATTAAAAGAAGTATATCTACAACTTTGACTAAAGTTTATGCCGATTGATTTTTTTCTAAACTAGTTATAAAAAAAAAACGTTTTGAGGTTCTCTGAAACGTGTTTTACTGCTGACTGCGGCTGTCATCGTAAGTCTTGGCGAATTAATAGTCACGTTATGAAAGCACGACGGGGTCACATAACATCACAAACTTCACATCAAGAGATATAAAGACCAAAGCGATACTTATTCCACTGTATACTTGAAAATATCCTTTGCCAAGGCCTTTGGGATTCACCATTTTGAGAAAACTTACTGAAAATTATTACTATTCGCAGCACAGTCTGCGAAGAAGGTCAAACAACAAGGTCACGTTTGCTGAATATGCTCTCCCACCGTTCTTGTATCGTATTTCTTCCTTATGCTTATTGGCTACCGAACGAGTACGCTTGTCAACACTTGATCCCTAATTCTTTAATCCCATTAAACTTCAACTTCATGTTTCGTAAAAGTAGATTTCGATAAAATACTAAAATTCAAACGGTTCGTTTGCAGAACTTATCAGACGAATTTCCTCTAAATTTTGCATATCGATTCGGACATTACTGAATTTTYAAAGTGTGTCTGCGTTTTTCTTTTTAAGTTTTCTTTGTCGAGAAATAAACAGTTTTGTGAGGGATGAGGTAAAATAGGGCCTAGTCTAACTTTAAAATCGAATAAAAAAATAACGAAGCGTTGAAAAGCCAAACGCAGACACACTTTTGCAGAACAATGCCTTGGTAACAGGATTATCAAAAAAGTTTATCTTTCTACGTAAAACCTTGTGCAAACGAATCTCTCGCGCGGAGACACTGTGTTCTCGTCAAGTCCTTGATGTCTTTTAAAATAATCAATTTTATCAAAAAATACGTCCAGATATGGATTCTTTGTCATTTTGTTTCTCAGAAAATGTATGATTTTTGCGGGTTTCCTATTAAATCGCGCGAGATATGATTTTTTTTAAAACACCTCCCGGTAGTGTCCGGGGTAACCTTAAACCCAAAAACCAAGACCCACTCAAAATCAATTCAAAATTGTTCCAAACATGCATTATACATGTAAAATGCAACAACATACAACAAAACACTTTAAGGATATTTAACTGGTGTCTTTATTTTTGAGAAAACCCACCCAACTGTCCAAAAATAAGACCCCTCCCCCCCCCACCCCCTAAAATCATTCTAAATCACAGTATGATCTTTTAAATTTAAATCTGATTTCTATTGATATATGTATCAACGATTTCTCATTTTCATTATAGGAAGTGATTTTGTCCCTCTATTAATTAAGCAATATAATGTTTTGATGGGGCCTTAGCCCGGTCTACACGAACAATTTTTATGTGACAACTTAGATGTGGCAATTTTATGTGACCCTCGACCACATGGGAAATTTTCAATATGTGACAATTTTTAGTTGTCACACAAAAACTTGCATGTCAGCTTTTCAGCAACTACAGTTTTCACATAAAAATTGACCAATTTTTCTCATCTACATGGGCAATTAAAAATTGTCACATAAAAATTGCCAAATAAAAATTGTTCTTGTAGACGGGGCTTTAAGGTCTTCGTTTAATGCCAACCCAGTAAGACAAAGTTCCTAAAATAAATCTGAACATGATATCTAAGCATGATGTAAGGCTTACTATTAATAGTAATTACAACAGATAGAAAATGCCTTTGAATCTGGTTAATCATAATGAGATTCATCTGCACCTGAACTTATTTGCTTAATGTTTTAAGGTTTCCAATTAGCTTTTCATTAACCTACTTTTCATTTATTCACTCATGTCAATAAAAAACGATCAGGAAAAATTAGCAAAGTCAGCAAATATTTTTGTTTTGTTTTTAGCAACAGCAAATAAACCCCCAAATGCCTGCAATGTAGTAGATATACATTTTGTAGTTGAAATCGTTAGTACTATTTTGATTTTGAATACAGCTTATTTGTAGGCCAAAAGTACTGAGAAAGCGTACAGTTTTACTTTAAGCTTAAGTTACTTAACAAGTTTATGTGTGATCTCTTTGATCACAGAAGGTGTAGCTACACTTGATTCCCGCGGTAAACCAGAAGGTCAATAAAACGTTATCGAATTAAAAGCGAAGAACAACTTTCTAGAAGAAACAATATTCGTCAAATTGAGGTCAGTTCAAAAGAGAGAGAAATCGCGTTTTAGTCATAGCAGCGACAACTACGGTAGTAAGCTTAAAATGATTCATATGGATGTTAAGACCAAATGTATCGATCAAACAGTAAGTTTATGTATTGATTAATTGTTTTAATAATGTTTATAACAACTACCTGTTATCAAAACAAACTTACTTTTAACTGTCCGACGAATAATACAACAAAAATCCAAGCGACCGATTGCAATTCCATTGTCAAGGATTATCCAGTGCTTGCATTTTCTGCTGTTCTTCAAAATACACCCATAACACGTCTAGGTCGCTTTCTTTGAGTTCTTCTCTTCTGTCTTTACAATTTTAAGTATAATGAGGTCTACAATAATTTTACATACACGATTTCCAAAAATCAGAACAAATGGACGCCAGATATGACCGTGACGGATGACGGCAAGGCGCGAAAGACTAGGATCTACCTACTAAAAATAGCTGCGTGACATCAAAACATGCCCGGGCAGGCCAACCTCGTCCCCAGGGCTACTCGCTTTCTTCAGCCATTTTGAAAAAAC